AGGGAAATGCATGGGACTATGGTGGTGGCACAGGGGTGATCTGGTGATGGGAAACCCGCGGGGATTACAATCAAGATGGAAAAAAAAATGTGCAAAATGATGTAAAAATAAACTTTGTAATAAAAAAAAAATATCGTCTCCGATATCATGAAGCTCAATTTAATGACAAAAATAAAACAAAAAGGAACATGGACAACCTCAGCATTTTCAAAAAAACAAAAACAAACCCTGCCCCTAATCTATCCACTTATCATAGAAAATGTAATACAATAAACAGCTGGACTATGCGTTACACTCTCTCTAAAACTATGTCTTTACCTGTAAAGTGAAAAGGTGTCTATCAGTAATAATCATTATTTTAAAAAAAAACCCTATTTTTAAAAGAAAGCACAAATTTTGTGAACCATACATTAAAAAATGAAAACTGTCCTGGTTAAATGGAAGTGTGTTTATATTTTGTTCTACTACCTGCTGCCAATCTGGTCCTGAAACTTCTTTGAAAGAAACTTAGGGATTGGGAGAAATCATCAGAAAATAAAACTACTGGCAAGATGATTTTTAGCTCTCAGTGACAATGTGCTTGCACTCTAAGTAACTACTTTGAAGGCAAGCTACATTCTTGACCAATTTTAAAAAATCAAAAATAACACCAAACAACAGGTTAAGAAAGTAAAAAATAAAGTATGCAGGAAGGGAGGGAAAACCAACTTTTTTTTTAACCTCTGGAGTGGAAGAAATTTAAAAAATGAAAAACAGATATGCACAGCAAGGAAAGCAAGAAGCTTCCCCTACATGTTCATTAATATTTCATGGCAAACCACTATCACCTTCAAAGGTCTCAGTCAGTAACTACAATCCCTCTACCTCACTTCTGCCTTCTCTTGAATCCAAATGTAAGTGACTTAGAATAGAAAACTATCATTTTTCTGTTCTATTCTGTCCTTTGAAAACTGTAACTAAAAAATCATAAGGTATAGAAAAAGGGACTGTTATTTTAAAATCCAACAACACAAATCATTGGAATAATGTGTTCTGCACTGAGTTATTTAGTTGTTACTGAAGTAAAAAGCATATGCAATCTGAAACTACTTTTTCTATAACAGAGCAAGTAAAGTAAGTTTTTGATATTAAAGCTAAAATAACAATGTTGTGATATTTCAGGCAGGATTAACTAATAGAGAATTTAGAGAATGAATGATAAAGAACTCAGGTACTAATGCTAAACTTAATGTAGCTAGAGGCAAGCAAGTTTCTACTTGTGAGAGTAAGAGGGTTCTTCTTCCAATTCCTATTGCTTAGAATTAAAGACATTCTAAGAAAAAAAAAAGCTAGGAAACATTCGAAATTTTAACCAGTAACAGAGGTTCCTTATGGTGGGCACCAAGTAGAAATCAGACCAATTTTCCAGAGGTTCCGGATTTTAAAATAACTAATAATAAATAGTAATTCAATTAAAATATAAACCAGAAAATATTTTAAGCTTTTATATAGAAGACTAGAAACAAATGTTGGTGAGGATGTAGAGGAAAGGGAATTTTTATGTACTATTAGTGGGAATGTAAAAGAAAAATTTTAAATTAGAAGGTTGAAAGCTTTGATTAGCTCAAATTTTCACTCTTAATGTAATCAGATTTACTTTACCTCCCTGGTGGCACAGGGGTCAAAGATAGCACTATCAAGCTACCAGCAGCCACTGCAGCCTATGTTTGATCCCTAGCTGGCAGCTGTGGAGGTGACCCACAAGGGGAGGTGACCCACAAGGGGAGGTGACCCACAAGGCACAGCAGACCTCTCCTGTCTCACCCACTGCTCCCCTCAGCAGTGTATTTCAGTACATCTGCCTGTTCTGCTCCCTATTCTGTCTCTAGTGAATCCTCTTACCCACCCACACCTCTGCCCTACACCCTAGTTATTGTATGCATAAATGAATAAATCTTTAAAATAAGCATTCTTTGTATTTTGGCCTATCTGCTATATGTCAATAAAAGAGTAACAATGAACACTTACTAGGGGAAAAAGTTATGCTAAACACTGTTCATTGCCTTAGATGTTTTATCTCATTCTTCATAACAACCCTGAAAAAGTAGACACATTTTAAAGAAAAACAAATACAGACCTAGAGAAGTTCAAATACTTGCCTGAGCCCACAAAACTGATGAGTACCACAGTCCAGATTTGAAGTCCAGCCTGATAACAAGGACCAAGTACTTTTACCACTGTATACTACACTAAACATCTAAGTACCTTCCCATCTGACACTCTGTTAGTAGGGGAGGGGCATAGACTTGCTCCAGCACAACAAAGTTTTGGAACTTAAACACAGGGCCTGATTTTAGGAAATTAACTGAAATAATTAATAAGGAAGATAAAAGACAATTGCCGATTCAACTCTACATATATGTAATTTGAAAAATGGCCATAATACACTAAAAAAGATAAGAAGAACTATTTAAGGAAAAAAATGGCTTCTGCCAACAACTTGAACTAAAAATGAGGAAAAAAAATTAATCCATCCTGTGACCACTTGAATATATGTATGTAACCCTCCTAAAAATTCTATCAGCTTATTATTAAATCCATTTGATAAGACAATGAGGCCCAAACTGCTAATAGATGACTAAACAAGTATTCAAATTCAGATCTAAATCCAACATGTATACATTGAGCTTGTCTAAGATATTATCAGCAATAGAAATTTAAATGGAGAAATATAAGGGGCAAATATCAACATAACTATTTAAAAAAGCAAAATCTTAAAAGGATATTTTTCAATTACATATGGGCATACTTAATGATTAACTAACTCAAACATACTATCACAGAAAAAAGGAGTATTTCCATAGAATCATTTACCTGGCCAGAGCTGAAGTAAGTAATGAAGGACTTCAATGTGTTTTTTAAAATCCAAAGCACTTGCAAGTTCTTCTGAATCAGTAAAGACTCTGTTGTTGTGAGTGGAAGTCTCTTGTCTCTGACTTAATAATACTGGTCCAAAGCACACAGCCAAATTCTGGCAAGTCATCTTATTCACTTCATGATAAGAAGCCACCAATTTCAAATGATTCAATAACATCTTTAGGGTTGCCTAAATTAAGTTAAAGTAAATTTCACTTAGCATAGTCATTTGAGGTGAATTCAAGGACATAATTTATAGAAGAAAACATAGATAGGCATCTGTCAATATTTGAAGGGTTGTTTCAAGGGTTTGCTTGTAAGTGAAAGTTTAGAACTTGAAACATTTTTTATAGGAACACTACTTAGACACCTTAGGCTTTGACAACAAAATTTGATTCATTAAATGATTAAAATACAGTAGTTTCCTCTTATCTTCAGTTTTGATTGCCATGATTTCAGTCAATTGCAGCTTGAAAATATTAGGTACAATAAGATATTATTCTTATAATTGTCCTGTTTGATTATTAGTTGATGTTGTTAATCTCTTACTGTGCCTAATTTATAAATTAAACTTCAACATAAGGTTATATGTATAGGAAAATAACATAGTATAAGTTCTATGATTTCAGGCATCCACTGGATATACTCTTTATAAAATATTCTCTTAACTGCATTCCAAATCTCAGCTGGAGTCCCTAGGAAAATGTATCATCAGTATTTTCCTCTCCACTAAAATGACAACAGCAAAGGCTTAATAGAAAGATTAAAGGGTAGAAGTGTGTTTATTTTTAAATACAGACATATCAACAGTTAAAAAAAAATAGGGGGCTACCATATTTAAATCTAGGGAGCTAATAATTTCAGAACATGGCCAGCTCCTATCATGATCCAGATTAGAAAAAAGGTCAATTCGCTTCTTAACTCAAAAATATTGTAAGTAGACAAACTATGGAAATGAGGAAAGTATACCTGGAAATGAAAGAAAAATTTATTTTTAAATACTCTTAGTACATGAAGAGGAGCTTGCTTTAGGTTTTAGGAATTTTGAAAAGGAATAGTACTTTTGAAGCAATAACCTATAACCAGTCATTTAACAAATAAAATGAATATAATTTCTTCATAATTGAAGAAATGATTGTCAACTAAAAACTGTAACTTATAAAAAGAAAAAAAACCAAATGATAAATTATTTGTGAAGCTGAAACCTGGATTTGGTGACTAGAAGGTGATTAGTAGCTTTAGCAAGAACAAGTCCAGAGAGCAGGGTAAGAAGCCAGATTACAATGTGTTGAGTAGTAAATGAGTCATGAAGAAGTGATGAAAGTTGGAAAAAAACATTCTTTCATTGTTTGGCTGTGAGGAAGGAATGAAGAAAGAATGAAAGTTAGGGATTATAACTGATATTTCACAATCAAAATAAGTTAATTATGTAAATCATAAAACAATGTAAATAATATGTATCCCACTTTTCCACTCACTACACATTCCACATAAACATACACTGACCTCATAAATTTATCATCAGCATATTACACTGTGAACAACTAACACACACACATACACTGGTTAAATGTATCAGGTTCAATCTCAATAGCAAATATAAAATATAGCTTAACATTAAAAAATCCATTTTTGTCTACTAAATAAGAAGAGCCAAAAATGCATTTTATGTCCCTTTTGAAAAGTAATAAGAAAACATGTATTAAGAACTTGAAAGGGCCTCCGTGATGGCACAAGGGGTTAAGTCTCAGCACTATGAAGCTATCTGCAGCCACTGCAGCACCTAGACAGGTGGCTGACCTACATGGCCCAGCAGACCTCTCCTGTCTCACCCGCTGCTCCTCTCAGCAGGGCATTTCTGTCAATCTGCCTGTTCTGCTCCTCACTCTAACTCTAGTAAATCCTCTCACCCCCTATCTTTCTGGCCTGTATCCCAGTTCTTATATGCATAAATAAATAAGTCTTCAAAAAAAGAAGAACTTTAAAATATTCATATCATTTAAGTCAGTCATTCCACTCTGAGACTCTATTCCAACTAATTCTAACTGAACTAATTATATATATATATATATATACAAGTAAGTTCAAAATCTAAATATTATACAAAAAAGAACAGTGTTTATGTCAAATCCACTCATGGAATATTATGCAGTCTTTTTAGAAATGAAGTTACTAGCAAGTTTTAAGACCAGAAACCTAAATTCATATGACAGACCACAAAGTGCTCACAAAAATTATACAACCTTGGGCATGATATTAAATTCCCTGATAACCATTTCTTCACTTTTAAGTAAAAAGATACTTAGAAATTTACCTTGTATTGAAGAAAGACTATTTCTACCCTTTCATTCCATTTTTCTGCTGCTTCTCATCTTTGTCACTGTTTTCCTACCCCCAACCAAAAGAGTGTAACTTCTAATCTAATTGTACAGGGCACAGGACATTCAGGGGAGAACAGTAAATTAGTGAAAAAAATTATTGGGTTTAACACCTCTACCCACTTACTCTTGCTCTTTTTATCCCATTGATGAGGAATGTAGGTAAGGCAGCAGCAGTTGGATAAACCCAGTCACATCTTTTTCCCTTTTGTTCTAGAAACAACTAACCTGGGGCTAAGATGGATTCTGCAGACCCAGTCATCCTTCTATCTCTTCTACAGAGTTCATGAAGATACTGGTCCCCAGAAGGGGGCAAACAGGAAGAAGGAAGGAGGAGGAGATAGGGATGATGACAGTTGCTTTTAAGTATTAAAGCTAAGCCCCCAAAACAGTTGCCCTACTTTTCTTTTTTTTATTTAATGGTGTGGTTTATTACCTTTATTGTATTGATTGTTTTATGAGTATACACAAGCCCATTAGTTATATATACTGCATGTAACTCACATTTTGTATACAATATCTTAGTAAAATTGACTTAAAATTTTTAATTGATATTTTAAAATATTATTCACTTTTGTTTTGTTTTTTTTTCTTACATGTGCATTTTTTATAAGTTTATTTTTACATCATTTTGTACCTTTTTTTTTTTTTTTCATTTCAATTGTAATCCCCACCGGTTTCCCATTACCAAGTCACCCGTGTGCCATCACCATAGTCAGTTGCCCTACTTTTAAAGTACTTAAAGGAAACCAAAATGTTAGCCATATTTGCCTCTGGGAATACTGATAGTTTATTTTCCATTCTTCTTTTCTAAATCTTCCCTATTTTTCGAAAAGAAGTATTTACTATTTTATATAATAACAATTTTAAAACTTAGCAGGAACATTTGTACTTAGACTAAAATATATATATATATATGTATTTTTTTCTAGATTTATGCTCTTTTAAGAAGCATTTTCTAGATTATTCTGTCTAAGGAGATTCTGGTAAAGGCATTGCTTAACCTTGTAAGGGTCACAAATGACAAACGCCTAAAAGTTATTTATAGTCCTGGTAAGCATATAAATCATTAGCTGGACTTTCAAGAAAAACATATCACAATTTCACTTACCTTCTCAATATCAGGCAGACAATCCAACAGGTCAACAGTGTACTTAGAGTCACTGGGGTCATTCTCACAACCATTTGATGACATTTTCAAAGGACTTTTTGCCATTGCATCTAATACAGCTTCATAAAGTTGCTTTGTTATCAGAGGAGAAGGTAGTTCTCTCAAATAATCTTTAAGAACACCTTAAACAAACCAGAGAAAGGTGTCAATTGGTATTGAGTGTGGTGAATTTTTCATCAAATATTATTAGAGCCAACTTTAAATATTCTAAAAACAGTAACAGTAAAAATTGATATAAAAAGAAAGTATTATAACACTAGCATTTTATTTTCTCAAACATTTTGTGCTAATTGGTCTTTCTTTTCAAAGCAATCTAAGAACACACACATACTTCCAATAATCACACATTATTAGGTTTGTTACTCAGAAGAAAGCAATTGTTGCTACATATACCCTATGCAGTCTGCTCCCCTATGAAAAGCTCTAAGGTGAGAAATTGTACACTTGAAACCTACAATGTTTTAAAGTAATGTTACCTCAATTAAAAAAAGAAAAGCGCTCCTAAATGTGATCTTGACTGATCACAGGTTTACATTGGTTGCAAACCAATGAATGTTACTTCAATTTAAAAATAAATATAAAACAAAACAGTTAAAAGAGTAGCCACACTAATATTAATTATAAATTATTCTAACTATGCAAGTGTTAAATTTCTAGACTTTTAATTGATAATGAAAGAAAGTCAATGACCCAAAACCCCTGCAAACAAATGAATTTTTATAAATATATCTCCTCTTTAATAGAGATGTACCTTAAATGTATATATATATTAGATTGTTGGAAAATCTCTAATGTTTCATTATGGAAGAATAAAATAATTCCTGAAATCAAAGGCACGAATAGAAAATATCAGTATAACGGGAATGAGGGAAGTTAATTCCAAACACAATATTGTGGTTATTAACTGAAATATTACCTATGATAAAGAAAAAAGAACCGAATGAGTGGATGTTACATAGCAAAAAGGTAGGTAAGATAGCAGAGGCAGAATGGAATGTGATCATAAAGAAATACTGAAGTACTTCTAACACCAAAAAAGTAATTATAGACAATATTAATTTAGCACATGCCCTAAACTCAGCTGAGCACTTAGCTTGAAAACTCAGTCTAAACTTAAATGCAATCGTGGCATTCTATAGGAAATGTTTAGTTATACAGGTGGGATGGAAGGACAATGAGGCATGGGAATTCAGGACATCTGAATGGAAATGGCTAAAATGATGAGCAATGAAATCTTCTATGACTAGAGAAGGAAATTATTACAGAAGGAAACAGCTCAAGAAAAAATGAATTTAAAGATAACCAGTGAAGTGAAAAACAGGAGTAGGAAGAATAGCTGAATGAAAAAATGTAAAGGATAGGAGACTGTAGCTTTAGAGTGAAGTGAATTCAAATTCTCAGAAGCAGAACAATTTTAGATGATAAGAATTAGTTTTGCAGTAAGCCTACCTGCAATATGTAGCAACATTCAGTGGACAACTGAGGTACAATTAGAAGTGGAAATGCAATTTCTGAAGTTGCCAAATAAAGACACTACCAACCCTCCAAGGCATTAAAAAAAAAAAAAAAAAAGATTCCATTATTTGTTCCTTTGACAAGGCAAGACTTGTTAGTTCAAATAAACTCAGTATGTCCTGGTAGTAGCAGAGACTTGCCTATAATGCAATTATATTAAATTAAAATCCAAAAGATTTTCAGAAAAGATAACTTTGTAAGTTCATGAAACATATATTTTAAGTACCATTTTCCTTTACTAAACAAACATTGACATAAATAGATATTTTAATTAATATAAGTTCAAGATTATTTTACTATAATTTGAGGGCAAATAAGGGAGAATTACTATTAACAAATATAAGCACTGAAGTATGCTCAATTTATATTATGCTTAATGAGGTAAATGCTATACTTGCTTTTCTATAAACAGACAAAGGGTTCAGACATAAAATAAAAAAGATTTTGTAGGATGATAAAGAGCAGAGGCATTTCCACTGTGTAACTACTGTCTTTATCCCAAAACCAATAATAAAGTGGTTTGTCATAGTACTCTCTCTACTTTTGCATATGCTAAACAACTTTGGCAAATACAAAGTAAAACCACAAAAATACAGATGGAATTAAAAATCAATAGTTCCTGTTAAAATCATTAAGTTCTGAGCAATCTAGTAATGGCCAAATTGAAAGCTCTTTTTCTGTTCTCATCTCATATGATCTCTTCAAAAACTATACTGCATCACAACTTCCTTAAGCTCCAGTGTCTTTTCATACTTTCTCAGTCTCTTTAACTGTGTTTCGTGTTTATTTGCCTACCTCCAAAGTCTGGAGATCCCCCAAAGTTCTATCTTTTCAAATTGCATGAATAATTTCAAGGCATTAATTTCTATTATATGCCAATAACCCCCAAATTGCCATTTTCCATGCATAATCTCAGGGTTATTAAAGTGTATTTCAATGCTATATATATTGGATTGCAGTCTCTACCTGGGTGAATTAAATGACAGCTCAAATTCTGCTCCAACCCCTCCGTAGCTATAGACGATCATTTTCAGATTTGATCTATGACTACTTGTATCTACTATTAGCACCTCAAATTCAATATACAAGTTTGAATACAAATCCAATTAATAATCTTTCCTTGTATTTCTCGACCAAAAGGAAAAGCTCGCCATTAAGCTTTCTTGTTTCTGCTAAAGGAATCCAAATAACCCAAGAGTCAAAGTCTTTGCGTCTTCATATCCTTTCAATTCTGTTCCTTCTTAGTTCTACTGTGTAAGCTTCCCTCAGTTCTTGGCTGCGACGATTGCCAAAACTTTCTAACTGGGTTTCTTTCCTTTGGTCTCTTTCATTCAATACGTCACATAGAGTTGTCAAATTAACATTGGTGGAGACCATCTCTAAAGATTTTATGACTCTGCTTTCCAAGGTGATCTCCTCTACCTGGTAAATAAATCTCAATTCTCTAACCAGACAATAAATGCCCTGAACATTACATAAGCTCAATTCAGCTGAACTCTGATGACAGTTGACTTATCCCTCTAAGAAGAAAAGGTACTCTCTTCCTTTTGGATGGATTTAATGCAGGTCTTACTTCCCTCCAAAATGTGTTGGATGCTTGGGAGCAGAGACCATACCTTGGTATCTCTCCACAGAAAACAACACAGTAGTGTTTGTAAAAGAAGAAAAATTAAACTTCCAAATAAGACCAAATTAAGTTTAGGATACAAAATAGTTATCTCAACTCTCTTTCCTGCAGGTGTAGTCTTTCCAAAGTGAGTTGATAAAGTAAAATCCATGCATTACCTGTTATTACATTTATGTCTGGATACTGGTTTTCACACAGACCAACAGCTTTGCTATCCTTCTCAAAAGCTTCTCGAAGTTCTTTTTTGACTGCTGCTGAACCACATAATCGGTACAGACCTACCACCTAGAAATAAAATTAGGACCACATTATGATAATCTGATCGCATTAAATTTTAAATACCTCAAACACAGTTTTTGAAATCTCAGTTTACTATATGTATTAGTTTAATAAAATATACTTTTATCAAAATTCAAAGAAATATACTATGATTTCTGTAGTATTGCCTGTCTTAAGCAAAAGTATAATCCCTTACCTTTCATTTGATATGCACAACCACTATCTCTGTGCCCACCACACCTCTAATATGCCCTTTCCTATTTTTTGTTTTAGACTTTAGAAATACAGTACAGAGGTCAAACAAAGACTTTGAAGTTGCAAAGCCCCACTTTATCACTTCTTCCTGATGAAGTTGGGCAGGTTATTTAACCTCTTTACAACTCAGTTGTACAAGAACAAGGACAAGGCTAAATGCCCATCGATAGACTGGATCAAGAAGACATGGGATAGGCAGATCCTACATCTCATATGGAGTATTATTTAGCCATAAAGAAAGACAAATTTTGTCATTTACAACAAAATGGAAGGAGTTTGAGGAAAACATATAGTAAAGTAAGTCAGAATAGCAAAGACAAATACCAGACATCATAGTAGACAATTTGACAAAGTAAAATACTTACAAAAACCAGCAGTCATTTAAAAAAGAAGTGAGGTTTCTGCAGTTAAGAAAGAGAGGGACTGAGACAAAGAATGGAACAGGGATTTGAAAAAAAATCAATAAACCTCTAAAAAGGCTAGTAAGTGGGCAGGGAGTGGGATAAGAGGAGGGTGGGAGAAATGGCACACATATAAAAATATGCATACAGTTATCATTTTAGGGAAAAAAATTCTCAGGAAATAATACACATTAACCTAAGATTTTTTTTAATTTATGAAATTAACTGATTATAAAGGCTTAGAGAAAATTTAGTTAAAATAATACATTAAAATATTATCTCTAGTTCAAAATGTATTTAAGATGCACAGGCATCACATGCCCGTCACCAAACCTAATTAAAAAGACCTTTTCTAGGGCCCTCTCTGGTGGCACAGGGGGTTAAAGCACAGCACTAAGAAATTAAAGCCACTTCAGCATGAGTTTATTCCCCACCCCAGAGGTGATCCACATAGCACTACAAACCTCTCCTGACCTGCCCTCTGTTCCCCTCAGCAGTGTACTTTGTCAGTCTGCCTGTGCTGCTCCCCACTCTGTCTCTGGTGACTCCTCTCACCACCCCTGCACCTCTGGCCTGTACCCCAGTTCTGTATGAATAAATAAAAAAAAAGACATTTTCTGATTTTCTGAACATGGTTAGTTGATATAGAGTCTTAAGTATTAAGTCTTTAGAAGTTCACTGTAAGTTAAGCCACTGAGAAAAAAATCAACATGATATTTATAAAGAGAAAAGAAGTAATTAAACAGTCATTTTTCTTAAAAAAAAAAAAACAATAAAGTAAGTGGTTGTTAGTGGTTGTTACCTATTCTTTTATATCAAAGACCCATCTAGAGAGCTGAATCATCTTAAATGATGAAGAATTATGGATAAAGAAATTATTTTAAGATAAAAATAAAGTAAAAACAAGGAGCTCCCCAAGCATTTGAACTAGGCACCGCTTGCAGGTTTTCTTATGACAGTAAACTTTTCTGAGCCATAACAACAGAATATAGAAGGTAGATCGCAATATGGGAAGTGTCAATGATGAACATAGGGAAATATTATCTGCAATATTTGAGACAAGTCTTTTAGACAGTAAGCAACCTACAACTATTTCTAAGAGAAGGTACTGTAAGGCACTTCTGTGTTCAAAAGAATGAATGTAATATGGGAAGTCAAGGCCTACAGTGAGAAGAAAAACCAAATTTTCCTACTTTTATCCACATTTATGTGCACTGACATAAAGAACAGCATGTGCTATTCTGGTCATATCATCTCAAGAAAGACATGGCAGAACTAAAGATGATCCAGAAAATGAAACTAAAATATTAAACAGAATAAAGAAAATGCCGCCATATTAGAAGAAACCAACAAATAGACACACTTAAGTGTCACAAAATCCCACATAAAGGATATATCCCCTTGAACCCAAGAAGGCAGGACATAAAACAATTGAAAGGAGTTCTATTTTCAATAGTAAGCACTAAGTTAATGAATGTGTTATATTACTCCCCAAAGTTGAAATCGGAAATATATTTCTTTATAAGTAAAATAAATTAAGGAAGATGAAAACAGAGATATTAATCTTTCAAAAATTTTACATTTTAGGATATAATACTAACATTAGAGGCAGACTTCTTAACTTAATCCTTAACAGACACGACTGAAGTCACTATCAGAGATAGAATTGGACAGAAAGGGCCATGAGGACAATTTCTAAAGTAATTTTCCCCACTGGAATGAGGGTGGCAGTTGCCTTCAAAGCATTTGGAAAATGCAAAGGCCCATTCCAAAAACTAATTTTGTGTCATTTCTCAGGGCTCTCCCTGGTGGCACAATGGATTAAAGCACCACATTATGAAGCTCAAAGCCGTTGCAGCGCGAGTTCCATCCCCTGCCAGGGGGGTTGACCTATATGGCGTGGCAGACCTCTCCTGACTGGCTCACTGATACCCTCAGCAGTGTATTTCAGTACATCTGCCTGTTCTGCTCTCCACTCTGTCTCTGGTGAATCCTCTTACCCACCACACCTCTGGCCTATACCCCAGTTCTGTCAGCATAAATAAATAAATCTTAAAAAAAAAAAACAAAAACTTAATTTTCGGCTCTCCCTGGTAGCACAATGGATGAAAGCACAGCACTGCAGCACAAGTTCAATCCCCAGCCAGGGAGGTGACCCACATGGCACAGCAGACCATCATGATCTGTACACTGCTACCCTTAGTAATAAACTTCAGTACATCTCTCTCTTCTGCTCCCCACTCTGTCTCTGGTGAATCCTCTCATCCCCCCTGCACGTCTGGCCTGTACCCCAATTCTGTACACATTAATAAATAAATCTTTTTTAAAAAACGTGATTATCATGGCGAAAAAACAAGAGTAATTACTAACTAACAAGATAAGCAAAGTTTAGGTAGCATGCTAGTCTGTGAAATGCAGGCAGGAAGAATTCTCACTGAGTGAATGTGGTGGAGGAAGGAGGTGCAGGAGAAGCAAAAGAAACAAAACAAAAAAGATCATGAAAGTAAAGTTCCAAATGTACAACTGCAAAATTTACTTTTCAGTTAACATGCAAAAATTCTTTATTGAAATGAACCTTTCTAAACTTCAAGTATAGAAGTAAAAACCTAAAACTCTTTTCTTGGCATTTAAAATAAATCACAACAGCCTTATACACCTGCTCTTTCTAAAATATTTCAGCAAACTGTATAAACATGTAGTGTTACATGAGCTAATTATTTTAATGTTCAGTTATAAAAACTTCTGTTTAATAATTAGCTTTAAACACTACCTAATCTCTAATCTCTCTACACATTGACTGGAAAAAAAAAAAAAAGGAAGCAAAACAGAGAACCTTAAAAAAGTAATTGTAGCAAAAGTTGAACTGGAAAATAAAGACCTCACTATCACAGAGACAACAGAACCTAGACTTAGTAGAACCATATATCTTGGAAGTGGTTTCAAAAGTTCAGATGTCCTAACATCTAGCTTCAAGGAGCTGTTGCATCTTTTTTAATAATAAACAAATAAGACCCATAGGGATTGAGTTGCCCAACACACATAGCTAATAATGGAGAAAAAAACCAGAACCCAAGTTCCTCACAAAACTCCACTAATGCTGTTAAAATAGTTTCCATGTTAAATTCAAGTTATTTCAAATTCATTTCTACACATAAATAAATCACATTTCAGATTTTGTGATGTTCTCACTTGATGGTTTTAATTAATTCTCGTAACACGAAAGCAAAAATACATCAGGACATAAAAATGATTTTTAGATTTAATTTGTGCTGCAAAAATGATAATCAACAATTATTTGCATATCAGAATAATGTCCTCAGTGATATACTGTTTCTCACTGTCATTGTCTACACATATTAATGAAAATAAAGATTAAGATTAACTAACTGGGGCCCTCCTTGGTGGCACAATGGATTAAAGAGCAGCACTATGAAGCTATCTGTGGCTACTGCAGCAAGAGTTCAATTCCCAGCCAGGGAGGTGACTCACATGGTGTGGCAGACCTGCCCCACCCACTGCTCCCCTAAACAGTGTATTTCAGTTAGTCTGCCTGTTCTGCTCCCCACTGTCTCTGGTAAATTCTCTCACCCCCTCCTGCACCTTTGGCCTGTACCCCAGTTCTTGTATCATAAATAAATAAACCTTTAAAAAAAAAAAAAAAGACTAACTGGCTAACATTTACCTATCTTGTTAGCACACCTGGTTTTTGTTTGTTTTAATGGGCTGCTTTTACCTTCTTTAATATTTAAAAGAAGAAGAGAATATGGGTTCTGATTAACAGAACCTTTCCTCACCCTCCATGCTATCCCAAAGTTAAGAAATGGATAAAAATATGCTTTGCAAAGAATGGAGACCAAGAGAGCAGGAAGTGAATTTTAGGAGTGAAATATAATCATAAGGTTTACTGTTGGAACTTTCTACCATAGGAATGTCAAAGCACGCTGAAATATTCCATTCCTTAAATGATTCTTAAATGACCTATGTTATTAGCTTTGGCTTTTCCCAGGAATGTCACTGTAAAGCAATCTTGATATTTAAGTAGAAGTCCCCAAACATAACATAACATAATCTGCATCTCAACACAAATTGTGAACCCATCCAGCATAATCTTAATTACTGACAACACAGGACTCATTATGAGTTAAATTCTAAAGACTAATACAATAAAAATAAAGACTAAGAATAAGAAAATGTGTAAATTAGATTTTTTTATCTATCTTCGAATTCGAATTCTTTCCCCCAAGACTTATTATAAATTAAGATAGAGTGATAGAAGTAGTAGAGAAACAAAGAATAATACCTGACAGCCCCTCTTTTCAATTTCCATAATACATTTCTGTATCAGGAGTGGCACCATCAATCCTATATTTTCTTTCTCTACAACTTTTCTAATATCAACACCAAATATCACTGGTTCCCGATTTATATCTAGTCCATGAAGAGAATTCTCCCACTGTTCCAGAAGAGTGACTTTCACATAAATAAGACCTCTAGGTTCAAGTTTGACAGCCAGCTGGTGGGTCTTTGTCACTCTGAATAAGGTGGGCAGAACAACGGTTCCATGACAACACACTCGATTTTTCCTTGGAGTGGGTTCCCAGCTGAATACTACTAATTTCAAATGCTGTGCATTTTCAATTTCTATGTTGAAAGTGTGATCCATGTCTAAAAATGTTGTCCGGCATGTGAGCAAAGCTGTTCTTGCTTTGTTTACTGAGTCTACTTGAATTGCACAAAATACATCTTTTGAATCTATTCGGGGTGGTTTTAAGTCTTCAGCACCATAGAAATGCACACTCATAAGCCCAGATATATACTGGGAACACTTAGGCTGATCAGAAAAACTATAATGTCTAAAAGCATCAATGTCTATTTCATTCTTGCTACAACTATTTGGAATTACTTCTTTTGCCTTTCCAAATTTGTTTTCAGGTCCATGTTTGCTAGATTTAGCTACAAGTTCAGGTGAATCTCCATCACTGAGGTAACCACCTTTGCAGGAATACTTAGAACTCACAGAGGTTTTCTTCTGGTAGCTGTGCTGAGAAGATACACTGGTATCAAGATGGTACCGACTTATAACATTCCTCTTAGCAGCTGTGGTTGTGTTCCCAGAAGGTAGAATAACCGTATGATGAATTTCTTGACAGTTACATTTAGATAAGGAAGGAGTGTTCTCTGAACTATTTACATAATTCACAGTTCCTTTAACGCTCAGTTTTCGGCTAAGTTCTGGCAACCTTTTCATTTTCATGGAAAGTTTCCTCACAGTTCGTGGAGATTTTATTTTATCTGGGAAAGACCAATTAATTGAACTCCCTTTTTTCACAGGGCTAGGGCTTGGAGAAGATGATTCTATAAGTCCCAATTCATTCTTATTTGTAGCAGCTAGGATCCCAGGACCTTTAAAAAAAAGATATTAGGTGATTAGTTTTGATTTTTCTTGTATTCCCACTTTACAAACCATAAACTAGTTAGGCTGTCACATGGACAGAATTCCTCACTTGTCATCTCAATGGGGAGATGTATTTATAAGTTTAGGTAAATCATTACTACATTCAAGCAGAATCTCTCAATGACTTACAGTGCAAAGAATTATCTACCCTCCAATTATTGTTTAATTCTGAAAGTCTGGAGGAAAAATAATGTAGGTTTCATGTTATATCTTTCTCACTGCAGTATACTTCAGTGAATGTGATAAACAGTGGATATTAGAAGAAACCAGGAAAGCTTCCCGTTTTAATGTTTAAAATATATTATACCATATTTAACATCTTTCCTATTTTAATAGGTTTATATGAAATCCTATAAGAATATTCCCTCTAGCCTCTCTGGTGGCACTAGGGGTTAAGCTGCAGCACTATGAAGCTATCCACAGCGTTGCCTGCTGCTCCCCTCGGCAGTGTATTTCAGTACATCTTTCCTGTTCTGATCTCCACTCTGTTGCTGATGAGTCTTCTCATCCCCTTCCACCACTGGCCTACACACCAGCTCTTGTATGCATAAATAAATAAGCCTTTAAAAAAGAAAAAAGAATTTTTATAGCAGCAATGCTGGCTTTCAAAAAAAACTTTAAAAACCCAATTTTTTTTTATTTATGCATACAGAACTTTGGTACAAGCCTGAGGTTCAGGGTCAGTAAAGGATTCACCAGAGACAGAGTGGGGAGCAGAACAGCCGACTGATGAAGTACACTGATGAGGGGAGCAGTGTGCGGATCAGGAAAAGTCTGCCGTGCCATGTGGATCAGCCCCTGGGCCAGGGATCGAACTAGCACTGAAGTGGCTGTGGTTGGGCTTGCACCATCAGGGAGGGCCAAAAAAACCCAAAATTAAAAAAAAAAAAAGTCTGTAATCTTGACAAATAAGTCTTCCTTATTCTCAAATCCTGTTAGCATATATCACCAAAGACATCCAGGATGAATTCTAGTCAATTGAATAGTTGACGGTTAAATATCATAAATCTAACTAAATAATTTTCAAAATTGTAAGACATCTTCTTTCTTCTTTTCTTGTAATTTCAATATATTAGAAACAATACAGGAATTTTTTTATTACAATTTTCAGTTTTCATGAAGAGTGCAACATTTGAATCTTTTAAAATTTTCCTCTGTACAAAAATATGGTTTTTTAATGTTATTTTTATTCAAGCTTACAATAAAAAAATTTTTAAGTATAAAAAGGTATGAATAAAGTAAACAAGAACTTAAATCATACTACCAAGGAATTAACTATTGTAAATACTGCGGTGATAATAATTTTAAGAGTAGTTTATTATTATTTAATTAACATTTAATTATTACTAAAAATAACACCAGCCAACTTTATGGAGCTTGACAAAGTATGAAAAATTAATTCAATGTGTGTTATGCACAGACCCTCATATAATCCTTATAATAACCCTATAAATTAATATGCTATTAGCACTCATTCTCCAGATAAGAAATTTCATGCACAGACATGTTTAATTTGTCTAAGATCACATAGCTGGTAGGTGTTAAAAGCAGGATTCAACCTTGGTATGGGCTTTCTGAACCCATGATCCTATATGCTTTCAGTCAGCCTTTCAACCCTTTAAAAAGTTTTCTAACCATATATGCATTGAACTGCTTTTTAAAGGCCTTTCCTTAGCTATTATCAGAAGTTAAAGTATTTTACTTAATTTTAAGCTTTCACTGATTCAGTTTTAAAAGTATATACAAAATGAGTTAATTTCATTGTTAAATTTAAGACTGTACCTAGCAAGTTTTCAAAATAATAAAGCAAAATGCAAATACCTTTTGAAAGCTAACATTATATAAATTTCCAACTGTTCCTACAAAGAAATAACCTAGGAAGGGATGATAGACAAACTGGATAAAAGGTCAGCTTTATTATGATGAATGGAAACTGGACTTTGGTGATGAGCATATGGAGTATACAAACACAGTTGCTGATACATAAAAAATTTGTACCCCAGAGCTTCTACAATGTTATAAACAAATTCTACTTCAATTAATGAAAACCAACCTAGTATTGTCTCAATTACTTAAATTATTTAGTTAAGTGAGTTTTTAAACTTTTAACTATTCCATATAAAGATCCCTAAGGATCCTAATTCAGAGACTGCGCTATATAATACTACATTTCACAATTAAAATGAGAATATTATTTCAAATATTACTAGATTAAATGGTCTTTCTTTAAAGTATTAACATAATATTCTCCCTCTAACCTCTCTATGTCTCTATGTGCCTTAAAGACAAAGAAGTATTTTTTTCTTGAAACAAGCTATTTTAAGTATGCCTGCTGAGTTTTTCTGGTAAGCTACTAATGAGAAATGGAGTTTTGATAAACTAGACAAAGCAGTTCCTTGTACTGTAAATTGTAGTGCAATTCTACTGACTTACTTACTGATCTAAACCATTCTATAGAAATTAGAATGTTTTAGCCTATTTTGTTATGGCTTAAAAAGGCTATCCAGTATATAAATTGCTCTAGATTATTAAAGAGTTAATCTAACATCGTGGCCTTTTTTTTTTACACATTATGAATTAAATATTTCCTACTAAAATCTTAGCTAATTATTAAAATTAAATACTGTAAATGTTAACTTTTGCAATCAATCCTGAATTTCTTAAAACAAAAATGCTTTTTTTTAAATAAAATCCAAGAGCTAAAATATTACCACATTCAACAATCACCTAATACTAAGTCACAATTTATATTAATCAAATGACACTCTAGCTATATGGGGAAAGCACAAAATAAAAATCTTTAAATATAAACTTATGAACTAGGCAAGAATCAAGTTAAATTGACCAGAATCAAACTACCAGCTTTCTGCACATAGAACAGTAATGGGGACAGAGCAGAATATCAGTTTTTGCTGAATAAATTTATTAATCAAACAACCAGTTGTTAGTTCCTATAAACTGGTAAGCCTTTTAGGAAATACAACATAGGAACTACTTATAATAGTTCCCAGCTATAAAGAGCAGTAGTGATATCAATAATTGATCCTAATGAAGCAAAATAGATTCTGATGAAGATCACTACAATGTAGTGGAAACAGTCTATTAATACCCTGCATTAGTAACTGCTTAAATATATTACAGCATCTTAATTAAACATTATAAAGGTTGGGAAATAACATTAACCTACATGAAACAATAAAAGACGAAGATAACAAGTGAAAATAAAAGAAACAAAAATTGCTCACTATGAATACAACTACATAAAAGATACACATTTGGAGTTAATAAGCCAAAACAAATCACAAAATGTTGGAATGATAGAAACATTGTCATTCATATTAAATTTAAGCTTTCCTATTTCTTGATCAAAAAATTATTTTAGAATTTCAATATTCTGTGTCTACTTCTATACAGCTTTCTGCCAATATTGCTAAAGAAATCAGATCACAGTAACCTACGTGATCAATCCTACCTGATGAAACATATAAACTTTCTAAATAATTCCTTTAGCCAATTTAGGATTGTGCTTACTCTATCTTAACACTATATTTAAGAGAAAAATGATATTGAAAAAGGAGACAATAAATGGCAATAATACTAAACTTCTAAGTTTTAGAGTTTTAAAAAATCACTCTTTCCAGGTTCACAATTTGTCACAAACATACTAGTGTTGAAGACAGCAATTTAAATCAACGTGTCTGTCACTTTAGAGATGCTAACTTTCTAACTTTGCTCTTATCTCCCTCTTGTCTTTTCAGCCCCATTCCACACCCACAACTATCTGCCACATTCCTACAAGCCTTTCCTATCACTCCACCCAAACCAAAGCCAGTAGTCCAAACTATTAATTTATTTAGTATTTGTTTTTCTCCCATCAGATAACAAAGGAAAAACACACTCTGGGAAAAAAAAAAAAAAAGTATACAATTAGAAAAATACACACATATAAATTTTAAAACTTTCAATCCTAAAATCCAGGGAAGAAATAAACATTTCCAGTATAGCTGTTAAGTTTCTTTCAAAACTGACATCATAGATTGCACACTCTTTTGTAATTGGCTTTTTTCTCTTAGAAATGTAACATTTACTCTACTTCTGCATATCCCTCAGAAAAAAGGACTCAAATGCAAGTAGTTTATTATAAAGTACAGAAATATTAGCTAGCAAAAGAAAAAAGTAATGGAAAAATTCAAGATGAATTGTAAAGCTACTACCACTAAGGGCAAATGGAGTTTAGCCTCATGAGAAAATTCTAGGAAATAATGTAGCATTATTTCACCCACCGGGCAGTCCTGTATCAGCTCCTATCAGTGACTGGTTAAGGAGCAGTCCCAGACTGTCCTGCAGGGACAAGCACTAAGACTTCAGGCGCATCCTCAGATACAGATACAGACACAGATATTTGGAAGTGGGCTGTCCCCATTCAAATAAGTAACAACCCAGGCAAGACAGAGATAGTGACAACATTTGTTACACCCTATATCTTTCAATGTGTTGTGTCATTTAAAACTTTATAAATTAAAATGACTTAACATACAATGAACTGTTTTCTATTGAACATTTGATATTTGCAACTAATCATGCCTTATGTGCTATTTCCTAGGTAGTGTGTCTGGGACTAACTTTGAAAGGCATCTCATCAGAAAATCTGAGGTGACTAAGGAAGACTATAAACCATCAGGCTGAACTATATGAAATGTTTTCTGTAGATCAAAAACTATGGAATATCACCAATTTCATGTAGTTCAACTAAGAGAAAACTACTATCTCAAAGGAGCAAAATACTAAAAGCACACCAGATACAAAACCAAGTCTATAATATAAAATCATGTATATAAAAGTATTTAAAACCTTGTTGAGTTTTCTTTATTTTTGTGAAAACATTTACTTTGCAAAGAAAAATGCATAACTACAATAGATACCTACATTTACTTTTACCTACTGCCAAAGAATAAAAAAATGGAAGCTGATAGATGACTATTTTTACCTGCAAAAGGAGATTTCAACATAGGACTGCTCTCCATTGTGCCTTCTTGTGTCTTGGGTCCAAGCCTCTGCTTATACTGTTGTACAAGCTCTGTGGAATGTATGGAATCTATAGGATTCATTTCATTTGACTGTGTGTTCTGAACATCACCAGTATGTTCAGAAAAACAAACCAAGTCTTCAGTATGATGCTCTCCTTTCACTAGGTCACCACCAGACAATACTCTCAAGCTGACAGCAGGAAACTTGAGAACAGTAGAGTTAGCTTCACCAAAACTCAAAGCATATTCATCATCTTCAGGAATAGGGTTGTACCATATTTCTCCTTCATCATCAGCATCATTTTCCTCATTAAAGTCTACAGGACAATTTCTTGATAATGAAGAATTTGTAGAATTACACACAACATATGTACAATATTCTTCAGATGACTTTAGGAGTGGTTGTGATAGCTGATGTTTAGGAAGAGAGACACGTGGGATGGATAAGTGACTTAGATCTTGGCATTTCTTATTTTCTTCTTCCAAATTAAAAGATCTCAGAGTACTCTGATACAGCCAATTGCGCTTCTTTGACACAGTGATGCTATTAAGCGGTTTATGACTTCTGAATCCAATATTATCCTTCAGGTCTTCAAGTTCTCTTCTCTGCATTGAAGACCCATACACATTTTCAAATAAATCTGTTTCAAGTAAAAAAGGAAGGAAGAATATAATAATGTCAGGTAGGCCAGAAAAGACATGTCACTATAGTACTTCTTAAAATACTATTTTTAAAAGAATAAAATATGAATCACATGGAGTGATTAAAATTGAGCCAGAGAATTTCTGGATTTCCTACCTAAAAATAATTTTTATTATTTAGAAGACAGATTGCTTGTATATACACCATAAGAATCCTAAAAGAAAGGATAAACAAACTCTAAGATTTTGCCTTTATAAACATGATAGTGCAAACAAAGCCTTATAGTAGGCAAAATTTACTTTATAAAAAACTGCTATAGAATTTTATATACAGAATGACTTTAACATTTGAATAACTTGGATTTGCTACTACAAGAACCAGTTTTCAGAACACATAAGCAATATTCCTATATTTTCTTTTTTAAAAATATTTATTTTATTTATGCATACAGGAGCTGGAGTGTAGGCCAGATGTGTGGGAGGTGAGAGGATTCACCAGAGACAGAGTTGGGAGCAGAACAGGCAGATCTACTGAAATAACACCATTGAGGGGAGCAGCTGGTGAGACAGGAGAGGTCTGCTGTGCCATGTGTGTCAGCTCCTTGGTCTGAATCAAACTCATAAACTCAAGTCGCAGTGGCTGCTGATAGATTGATAGTGCTGATACTTACTCCTAGGCCCAATATTCCTATATTTTCACATAAAAATTAACTCTGAAAAAAATCTTAAAAATAAGTATACCTTGGGCCCTCCCTGGTGGCGTAGTGAGTTAAAGCACAGCACTAAGAAGCTTAAGCCACTTCCTCATGAGTTCGATTCCCGCCTGCCCCGAAGAAGATCCACATGCGCAGCAGACCTCTCCTGACCTGCCCGCTGCTCCCCTCAGCAGTAGACTTCGTCGATCTTGCCTGTTCTGCTCCCGCTCTGTCTCTGGTGAATCCTCTCACCCTCCGCATCTCTGCCTGTACCTCAGTTCTGTATGAATAAATAAATCTTTAAAAAAAATGGAAAAAAAAAGTATACCTTACTTATTACTAAGTGTATTACTACTACTTACCAAAATTTCAACCTAACCTTTGTTTCTTAACCATGTAGTACAGTAGCATCTTATATAGCTAAGTTATAAATATCTAAGGTAAAAATAAAAATAAAAATCCCTTAAGACCCCATATTAAAATTGGACATCTTGTCTCACAGTAAGTACAACACGAGCATTATTAATGAACAGGCAAATATTAAGCAGTAAGAATAAATAAGTGAACAAAACAACTAGTGCCCTGAAGGAATTCACAGTGCAATGGAGGACATCAAATATTTAATATGAGCATGTGTTAGTATAATGTGACAAGATTCTAAATATATACATAGTATTCTAGGTATACTATACACACACACATATATATAACATTTATTCCATATAAAAAGGAAAAATGTTTTGGCTTCCAAAGACTTACATAGAGCAGGTTTCAATGATAAGTCAATAAGCTAAATTAATATACTATTAACTAGTTTAACTTACACAGAGATAATTAAAACAAAACAATATTTTAAAAAATGTAACACCATGCCAACTTAATAAATTATGTAACTATGGTGTTATGCTACTCTCTCTTGCTCTCTCCCCCACTCCTCTCTCTCTATATATGTATATATGTATATATATAATAGTCTAATAAGGTGTAAGGTGGTAATAGCTTACACTATCAGGTGCTTAAAGACAAACAAAAATATAGGTTTCATTATCAAGGCTTTGAGCAATCTCCCTTCTACTGAAAAAAATCTTTTAAAAAAAAACCATAAATTTGTCTTTTTTTTAAATCCTAAACATTATTCAACTAAGCAGATTAATTTTTTAAAAAATTACAAAAAACAACCTTAGGGAACTCCCTGGTGGTGCAGGCGTTAAAGGCACAGTGGTTTGGGCAGCCACAGCAGCAGGAGTTCAATCCCGGGCCAGGGAACTGATCTCTCCTGTCCTGCTGCTCCCCTCAGCAGTGTATTTCAATAGACCCACCTGTTCTGCTCCCCACTCTCTCTGCTGAATCCTCTCACAGCCCCTGCACCTCTGACCTGTGCCCCAGTTCTGTATGCATAAACAAATAATTCTTTAAAAGAAATAATAATGACAAATATGGTCAAGATATTAGCTCTCGGCTTACAGTTTAAACCAGACTAACCTTAAAATCCATGTTCTTACCCACCTCCCCCACACCATACTACCCACTGCAAGTAATACACAAATAATCCTCTCTGTATTTAGTAATATCAATCTAGCTAACCTCATAAAAGAGTGGCTGCTGGTAAGGATTAAGTGAGATAAAGTTCTAAATACTTTGAAAATTACATAGTACTACTCAAAAGGTAACTTGCCCATATAGTGGTGAAATACTCAAGCTGATCTTGCGTTCTCACCTACCATATCATAATAAAGGTGGATGGCAAATAAAAGAGGCTGCACTCGGATCTCTCTGGTGGCGCAAGGGTTAAGTCTCAACAGGACCAAGATATCACCAGCCACTGCTGCAAGAGTTGGACCACCAGCCACGCAGCAAATCCACCAGGTTCAGCTGACCTCTCTCTCCTGCCTTATCAGCTGCTTCCCCTCAGCAGTGTATTTCAATAGATCCACCTGTCCTCCCCATTCTGTCTCTGGTAAATCTTCTCACTCCCTGCTCCTCTGGCCTACAGCCCAGTTTTCTATGCATAAATAAAATCAATCTTTAAAAAAATTAAAATAAAAGAAGCAGCATGCAAAGCAAACTTCTGACTCCAAAGTTAGTAGTAGTACAATAGGATACTTGGGACCAAGGGACATCCAGCTCCACCCTCCCCATTTAACATCAAATCCTGTAACATTTTCAATGAATATCCTGCACTGATTTTGTTTAACTCACGAAAACCTAAAGATTTAAGTGTCTTACTTCGGTTCTGATTTCTTTACACTTAAAATCAAGAACTAAGGGCCTCCCTAGTAGCGCATTGAGTTAAGTCTCAGCACTATCAAGCTACCATTGCAACTCAGAGCTCCACCCCCAGCCAGGGAGCTGACCCATATGGCACAGCCCACCTCTCCTGTCTTGACTCTTGCTCCCCTCAGCAGTGTATTTCAGTCTGTTCTGCTCTCCACTCTGTCTCTGGTGAATCCCCTTATCTCCCCCCCCAACCCCCCACATCTCTGGCTTACACCTCAGCTCTTGTAGACACAAATAAATAAATAAATCTTTTTTAAAAATGAAGAACTGAACATCAAAGTATATCAGGAATCATTTGGGTTTTTTGCTTTTATTAATTATATCCATTTGCTAAGTATAATAAAGTATAAATCTATTTCACATTTAAGCCCAAAAGTACTATTATTGAACAGTATTTTAGAGATTCACAGGATATTATGTGCAGTTTTGACACAACTATAACTTTGAAGCAAAAGCATAAGATAATACAACTCACAATGACTACAAGCCACATCTTTTTCTCACATGTTTCAAAATTTTATATAGACACATTGAGTCCTGTTAATGTTTTTGACATACACAATAAACATGCTTCTACTTGTACTACATTCCAAGGGACTATAATGAGTAAAATAAAGCTACCAGCCACTATATTTAAGCAAATTGGATGCTTTTCTTGATATAAGCACTTAATGAATATGTAATCATAAAAAGACTAATTACACAGTGAGACACAATGCAACAATTTTCATGAAACTACAAACTACAAACACTTGAAACCAAATAGTCTGGTTGCTCTTGCAGAATATTTCAAAATACATGAGACTGAAGTTTAAAGTTAGAATAAATAGATACATTATTGTAATTTCTGATAAAGGCCAAATGTATTCAGTTACTAAAGCTAAACATAAACACTTATTTGGGGCAGTCTACCTTACTTGGACAATTCTTCATAAACATTTAAAGAACTTCAAGTATTTGAAGTATTTAGATGCAATGTAAATTTCATAGAAATCTGAAGCGTTCCCTTTCCTACCCTTTTTTATGTTAAAATTAACATTATAATTTTAATTTAATTTAACATAAATAATTTTAAATTGCCTTTATTTTCAGAATGTACATATGTACTGAAAGACACAAAAATGTATAAAAGTGTGCAAAATTGCAAATCAAAAAAGTTTTTATTCTCTTTCAAATATACGTCACATAGTACAATCAGTGGAGTCTAATTAGATTATTTTACTTTGAAAATTTGTAAAAGTTGTTAGAAGTGGCAATTTAAAAATATTTCCACTCAAAAAATATTGTAAATAGTGGTGAAATACTCAAGCTGACCTTGTGTTCTCAACTACTATTTCATAATAAATCTAGATAGCTTATTACATTAAACATTTAACTAGTGTCCCAGCTCAAAATCATCAGCAAGCTTTCTGAGAAATTAGTATTTCAACCTTTATGGAAAGTGTGCACAGATCTTTCCATAACTTTAGAATTTCTACAGCAGAAATAAACTATTATTTTTGCTCATTTCTCTTTAAATAAAAGTATAGATAAATAAAGCTGTTTTTATGTACATGAAGACACAATGGTAGGCCCTCCCTGGTGGTGTGACAGGTGCACAGCACTATGAAGTGATGGCAGCCACTACAGCATGCGTTCGATCCCTGGCCAGGGAGCTGACTCACATGGCACAGCAGACCTCTCCTGATCTGCCCACTGCTCCCCTCAGCATTGTGTTTCAGTACATCTGCCTGTTCTGCTTCCCACTCTGTCTCTGGTGAATGTTCTCACCCCTTGCTCCTCTGGCCTGCACCCCAGTTCTTATATTCATAAATAAATAAATCTTTCAAAAAAAAAAAAGACAGAATGGGAGATGTGGACCATGGCCCCCAACACAGCCCAGGTCAGAGGCAGCTCAAGCCCCATGTTGAGAACATGGCCTAAAGAAAAGTATTCTTATGAACAATATATTAAATTTAAATATACACAAGGAGCTCTCCTTATAGAGTCAAACCTGGAAGTCCAGATGAAATGCTAGAACAAACTGACTCATTAGGTATGTAGATATGTAGGTAAGTAAGTAGGTAAACAGACTAACATGCTGACAGACTGACTTTCCCACTAAGCCTAGCTGGGGAGAGGGGTAGAATGAAAAGAAGCATTTTTTCTATCTTTTATTTTTCTTCCCTTGTGTCTCACAATAAAAAACTCTAAGAACACAGAGAAAACACAGACTTTTTCTAGAAAACAGAAAGAAAACGGGGAAAAAGCATAAAAGAAAAATGAGCAGAATAAGTATCTCTAAAGGGCAAATCTCTAGCTCAATTCCCAAAGCTCTCCAAGTCAGTCCTCGCAACATTTCACTCTCTTTCTAGAACCCTAGTGATCTGGGGTAAGGCAATTCTCACAAAGCCTACTTGCTTTTCTCTTGTTAACAGCTAAGTGCCAGGCATGGTACCAAGTGGATTATCCTTTTTCATCCTCACAGCATCCTGAGACAGGCTACATAGCATTGAGTTACTTGTCCGAGGTTACAAGTTAGGTAAGTGGTAGAGTCTAATCAGAAACTCAGAGTCAGTATTCTGTTAACAACTATCCTACCTGGCTTCCTTTCTTACAGACCCCCCCCCAAATCTCATTTTTATTAGTACTTGCTAAGATCAATATGGAGGTAAGTACTTGTCACATTAAGTAGTAGGTCTAAATTCATACATTAAAACTGAAGCAGAAAGCACTCAGTTGCTTTGCTCCAACAGTAATTACTTTAAGTACTAAGAATAAGAATTGTAGAATATTTTTTCAAAACATTAATAAATACCGAAAACAGAAGATTGGGAGCATTGAGAAGTCCTGACACTGCTCAGTGAGAAGTCCTGACACTGCTCAGCATCTACACTGTTTGTTAAAATGCAGAATTTCAAGCCTCACACTAAGTCTGTATTTTAACAAGATTTTCAGGGCATTTATATGAGCAATAAGCTTGAAAAACACAGCTCTATAATTGTGAGCCATACTTTTTGAATGACAAGGATCTAAAAAGCAGCCTTAGTGGTTCTCAAAAAATAAAATCCACTTAGAAACGTAGGGCTTTCAAGTCAGCACACCACTTTCTGATTAATTTGTAATTCTCAGTTTTCCTGCCACCAACAACTCCAATGGCAACCAAAGGCAAAATTCACAGAACCAGGCCCTCCCTGGTGGCGCAGCGGGTTAAAGCACTGCACTAAGAAGCTTAAGCCACTTTCGCATGAGTTCGATCCCCGCCTGCCCCGGAGGTGACCACATGGCGTGGCAGACCTCTCCTGACCCGCCCGCTGCTCCCCTCAGCAGTGTACTTCGTTGATCTGCCTGTTCTGCTCCCCACTCTGTCTCTGGTGAATCCTCTCACCCTCCACATCTCTGGCCTGTACCCCAGTTCTGTATGAATAAATAAATAAAAATCTTTAAAAAAATAAAAAAAAATAAAAAAAAAATAAAAAAATAAAAAAAAATAAAAATAAAAAAAATAAAAAAATAAAATAAAATAAAATAAAATAAAATAAAAAAAAAATTCACAGAACCAAAAAGAGAATTTACTTCCAGGGTTACATCTGCAGAATTTCAGAGAGGGATTTAAAGCTTGAAGATAGTCAAAACTTATATGCCTACTGTTACTTGTCTTGATGAGGGGAAATGCACAAAGAAATTTGTTGGAAAAATTCATATTAGGCAAAATTTTACTTTTGGTAAAGGCACATTAATTTTTTTCTTTCACAGGTCATGTAGTAGGAAAAGTTGAATCCAACTAAGCTAGCTGATTGTTTTTTAAAGCAATAACAGGACAAAAATAGTTCATCTTAGTGCTTTTGAATTTATTTGAGTACTACATGCTAATTAAAACATTTATGAAAACTCATTAAGAACTACAGTTGGCAAATATGAGAATTCCTTCCTAATCTTAAGACTTGCAGAAACTTGACAATATTTACTACATGTAATGACTTTAGATTTCTTAAATAGTCATCTCAATTAGGAACAAATTAGCCAACCTGTGAATATACATACCCAATGACACCAAATTACTGACATTGTTTATTATACTATCAAAAATTTTAGTGATTCTTAGCAGGAACCAGAAATCAGGGGGCCTCCCTGGTGGCACTGGGGTTAAGTCTCAAACTATCAGACACTTACAACCCAAGTTCAATCTTGGGCCAGGGAGCTAACCCACATGGTACAGCAGACTTCTCCTGTCTTGCCAGCTGCTCCCCTCAGCAGTGTATTTCAATAGATCTGCCTGTTCTACTCCCCACTCTGTCTCTAATGAATCCTCTCACCTTGCCATACTTCTGGCCTATACCACAGCTCTTGTATGAATAAATAAATATTTTTTAAAAATAATGTTGGCTTCCATTTGTCATATGTTCTCTGAATTTTCCAAAATACCTAAGTAGATTAGGTATTTCTAATTCATTATTGTTCAGTAATAAATCCTAAGTATAAATGATAATGTATAGAAAAATGTAAACATCTTTAAATACAATCAAGATTCTTGGCTACTAAACATCTTTAAATACAATCAAGAATGCATGGCTTCATATGTCTTAGAAAAGATTATTTATTATAATCCAAATAACAGCAACTTGAACTAAATAAACATTTTAAGGTAGAACTTTCAAACGAATATCACAATGACTTAAAAAAATGTACTAAAACCTATGCTAGGATTCTCCCATCTTCCTAGCAACTTTGAATAACATCCCTTTCTATATCTTATTGAAATGCCAACCACTTCTTTCAATCCAAGCATCTTCATACAACTAATTGGACCAAACCTCTAAAGAATTTTATGAGTCTCTTTGACCTATATGTATAGGAGTTTTAGAGTCATAGAAATCTGTGTGTGAAGTCACTTAATAATTAAACCCATATAAGATTGTAACAAAACATAGACTAGTTTGACTAACAACTAGTCACCACTTTCCCCTCTGTGTTTTTGATTGTTGCTGATGTTGCTAAATGACAGTTGTCATTCTTCCACTAGGGAGTCAGAGAGTAGTGATAGAAGATTACATGATAACCAAAGTAAAAAGCCAGAATGGTTTAATAAGTTTAACTCACCTTCATTATTAAACAAACAAACAAAAAAAAGCCTTTCCAAATCTACACTAGACACATATTACACAGGTTATATCTTTCCTAAAAAGTAAACTGAAAGGAAATAATATCTAAAAAGTTGTTTAAACCAGAACTTAGCTAAGCTTTTCTTAGATTTTTAAAGTACTATCATATATTAATTCTAATATTTCATTTTAATTTCCCTTAAAGTTAGTATCATTTGATTCACTTCCTAACAAAAAAAAATCAAAGAATTAATTGTTTTGACATTTATTATACTTAACAAATGTTTGAATGTTTGCACCACAACTGAGGACATTAAAAGCCATCAAATGGTAAATGTTTAACCTCTGCAACAAAAGGGCAAAAAATTTCAATATTTGACTAAAGTTTTATACACATTTGTGTTATGGCTGAAATTTAACTATCTTATACAGAGTTGACTAAATCAAGATCAGAGAAGTAAAAGTATAGTGGCAATAAAGTCTGGTTATGATATGCTACTCGTGGAAACACATTTTCATAGGTTGAAAGCATAGAATACAGTTCCCTTCACAGCATATGTGCATTCTACAAACCTTTTATATTAAAGGAAATGGAGGAAAATTGGTGGTGGGGGGTTATTTGTCAGGTATGGATTAGCAATTTATAGATTTTTTAAGAAAAAAACTGGTTTGTATACTGTAAATGAAACATTTGTTTTGTCCCTGTTGTGTGATTAGTTTTGTGCACTTTGTTTCTGCCCACTGTATCGTATTTTATTGGTTAAACAAAGCTAATATGTATAAACCTGGTCTTGTAGGACCTGTAATTCTAACCAGAGAAACTGCCAAGTACTGTGACTACTCTTTAGATTTCAGCATTTAGTCTTCGTGTTTACTAGAAGTCTTTATATTAAAGAGTGTAGCTCAAAAGATCAAGTTGGTTTTGGATCAGTTTGAAAGTAAGCTTTCAGAAAAGATTTTTTGTTAGTTACAACGTAATTAAGAGCTTTCTAGAACTGGTGACCAAAGGCATCCTTGAAAATTAAAAATCACACACATAAAAAATAAGGAGTTAACTCCTATCTTAAGGTCAAATATACTTAAGTTTACAAATGACTTAAATGTCTGCACTTTTCTTTTTCTTTTTGACGTTTTCCTTTTGACTACAATACAGAAGGGTTATTGATTTTCCACAATAAAAATCTTACTCTGTAGAGGTTTTGAGAGTGGGTGTGTGAGAGGGAGAGAGGAGGAAAACCGGTGAGGAGTATGTGATGGGCTACCTGAATAAAGAGAAAATTTACTTAAGGTAGTTAGGGTTTTGGGTTTTGGTTGTGTGTGTGTGTGCCTGTGTGTGCAAGCGCCTGGGAAAGAAAAGGGAAAAAAGTTGTAATGAGCAAGATGACTGTTTATGAAGCCCATAAAGTTATTCTTGGATCAAATTCAAACTCACAACTCCACAAAAGTCTCCACGGATTTGCCTAGAGCTACAAAGAATAAAAAATCAAGGCAGCACCGCCCATCTCTAAACCTACTAAAAGTGTGTGGTGAACTTAACCTTTACTCAAAGTGGCGCTTAGGAGTAGGCGTACGGGTTCTTGAAGGAGAAAAAGCAAAAGCCCAAAGTTCCTCGAGCCAGAGTGCTAACACACACACACACACACACACACACACACACACACACGGTGACTGCATTAAAGCCTTGAACGCATTAAGTAGCCCTTTGGTACCAGCTCTTGGCTGTCTGCAAAAAACTTAACTTATTCTTCTCACTTAAACAGAAGCCTCGTCGATCAACATCAAGGCTCTAAAAGTTAGCATTCTGATTGCAAAGTAGCCTACCTGTCAGCGTAATTCTTTGATCTGGAGCAACGGAGAGCACCTGGTTTTCACGCATTTTCAAAGCGGCCAGACTGGGAGAGGTTGCCTGCTCTCCCGTGACTTTGGGGGGTGTCTCCCGGGCGCGACCCTTCATCCCCAGGGACAGCAGCCGTCCTTTGTACATCCACTTCTGCAGCTTCTTGACTGTCACCGCGGGAGGCTTGAGGAAGGGGAGCCCCTCCTGGCCGTCTCCTTTGCAGCTGCGTATCACAGGGGTCCCCGCAGGATCCCCGAATGAGCTTCTGGAGGAGCAGCCTGGGTCCTCGGAGCTGGGAGGCAGGAGGCCGGAGGGCGCCGTGGCCCCCGCGCTGCCTCCGCTCCAGCCGTCCATCCTGCCTCCACGTGGCGGGGGCTCGTCCAGATCCTCCCGCGGGCCGCACCTGATCCAGCTGTCGCTCACCCACCGCTGCAGCGGAGGCGGCTTGGCACCCTGTCGGAGGCTGTCGAGGCTTCTGCTGTAAGGCAGCCGCATCCGAGAAGTCCGCCGGCGGCCTCCCCCCGACTCCCTCCAAGGCGACCTGGGCGGGGACACCTGCTGCCAAAGACAGCCGCCGCCTCCCCGCTCCCAGCCTAGGGGGCAGGCTCGGCGGTCCGCCGCGCCGCGGGGGGAAGGCTGCTGGCGCGGAGCCCGGGCTCCAGCAGGGCAGCCGCGGTCCGCCCAGCCCCGGCCGCCCCGCCGCGCGCCCGAGTCAGGGGGCAGGTCGTGCATGGCCTGGATCAGCAGATAATAGGCCTCTCGCAACTGGGTCTGCAGCCTGCCAGTCTCCAGGCGGCCGCCCTCCGCCCCCGGGGAGGAGCCCGCCACTGGGGGAGGCGGGGGCCACCGCCCCGCCTCCGCCCCCTCAGGCTGAAGCGCGAACCGGTCGCCGGCGGGCAGGTTCTCGTAGTAGTCGGCGTCGTCGTCCTTTTCTTCGCTGGCCTCTGTACCCCGCGGAGCGCGCAAAGAATCGCGCGTGAGCCCGCGGCCCGGGGGGGCGGCCTCCTTCCCGCCGTGCTGCTGAGGCCCCAGCGCCCCCGCCCGCTCCGGGAGCCCTCCCGGGACCCGCGCCGGCGGTGGCGGCTTCAGTCTCAGCCCCGCTCCGCTTGCATCCTCGTGTAGGGGGACGATCGCAGCACCCCCGGAGTCTCCCTCAGCTGCGGAGGAGGCCGCCACCGTAGCTGCCGCGGCCGCCCGGAGCCCGAGCCCCCCGGTAGCGCGGAGCCCCCGCCTCCCCCGGAGCCTGGACAGGGTCCTCCTCAGGGGGTCCGCCATGCCCTCCGCCTCAGCAGCCTGGCTCGCCCCGGCCCCGGGGAGAAGTGCGATCCCCGCTGCGGAGAAAGCTGCGCTCGCGGAGGCGGCTCCCCATGACCCGCGCTAGCCCTCGCGGGCTCCTCACATACTTGGCATAACTCAGCCGCGGAAGGGTGGGGGAGGGCGGCGCCGCCGCAGAGCGCATGCCCCGGAGCCCGGGCCGCGACGGGGCGTGCGGGCAGCGAGCTGCGGAGCTGGGTTACCCCCGTGGGTGCGGACGCGGGCGAGGCGGAGGCGCAGGGAGGGAGGTGGGAGAGAGGGTGGGTCCGTCCAGCGTCGGGGTGCAGTTAGAATGGAACGCAAAAAAGAACGAGTGGGAAGGGCAGTGGGCGCTGGACTGGCGCCTGCAAAGTTTGAGTTAGGGAGACCAAGAAAGGGAAAGTGCCCTCCTGGCTGCCACCCCACACCTTCCCCCTTGCCACCATTGCTTGAGGCATGTCTAAGCAGCAAGTCCTGGCTTGAGAGAAAACAAAGATTGTTTTGACGGACAAAGTGTTAGTACAGGTGTATCTCACTTAGTGCAATGTGTACTGGAAACGTCTTGAATCGCTTTAATTGCGCGGGGAGTTACCTCTTTAAAGGAAATTTTCAGAGATTCCTTATCAGTAAGAATCCTCTTGTCCAAAAAAAAAAAAAAATCATCCTTGGGTCTCTTGAAACCCTATTTTCCATCCTCCATTTAATTCGTGCTAAAATAAAATTCTGATATCACCAAAACTTTTAAAATGGAAATGTAAATATCACAGTGCCCTCCCAATCACTGCCATGACAAGTCATTTTAATTAAAACAATGAGTTCAGAAACCAGTGCACTGAAATTGAGAAGCAATATTGTTTGAAACTACCAACATTCTTAAAAATATTAAATCCCGGCCCTCCCTGGTGGCGCAGCGGGTTAAAGCACTGCACTGAGAAGCTTAAGCCACCTCTGCATGAGTTCGAACCCCGCCTGCCCCTGGAGGTGACCATATGGCGTGACAGACCTCTCCTGACCCGCCCGCTGCTCCCCTCAGCAGTGTACTTAGTCGATCTGCCTGTTCTGTTCCCCACTCTGTCTCTGGTGAAGCCTCTCACCGCCCCTGAGCCTCTGGCCTGTACCCCAGTTCTGTATGTACAAATAAATAAATCTTTAAAAAAATATATTAAATCCCATGTTCTATGTAGCAGAAAAGTACCTCCTGTTGCCACCGATCAATGGAGCTATCCAATGATTGGGCTCAGTTACATTTTTTAATGTTTAAATGTTAGAAAGGACCTTTGAATAGCACTTTAATTCCTTGCGCAGTACCTGCACTATCAAACGCTCAAGAACTATTTCTTGAATAAATGAGTGCTTGCAAAACTGAGCAAGTTAGCCCTGACTTGCCCTAATTCTAACTTTATTTCTTTAACTTCTTTTTTGTACACCATTCAAAGTTTCGAGTCTCTAAAGGTGCTTTGATCTTTCTTTTTTAGTACTTATTCTTTGCCTCCTGTAATAATTTTACTTGCATCTTTATTTGCAGAAGGCTTACCCATCCTTGGAGACACCAGTCAGCTGCCTTTTCTCTGAATGCATAGGTGGTCTCTCAGATGGACATGATCTCTCATTCTTTCAAACTCGTTTAGTATTTTATTCATATCTTCTCATAGTATATTTATTGTTTTTGTTTTGTTTTATACAAAGCATGCCCTATCTTCCTTACAAGAAAATTCATAAATCCCTTGAGGGCAGAGATAATTTATAATTAACTTTTTTATTCCGCAGAGTATGTGTAAGCATAGCATTTATATATGTTTGTGATGAATAAGTATTTTTTAACTAACATCAGTTTTAATCTAGAGGAAACAAATGACTTTAATTTCCAGTCTTTTACCTAGCTCTCCATTAGACCATGCTATTTGTGTTAACATCCTTTCAGTGATGAATAAGGAACAGTTTGTTAAATAATCTTAATTTTAATCTCAGAAAATGCTATGAAGTACTACACTATAATTTACATACATTAGTATTTATAGTTCTATAATATTTTTTCCTTTGGAACAAGGCCATTTAGTGAATAGTCAAGGCATAAAATTATGTCCCAGTGAAATATTCCCACAGGAAATGACTGATAGTAAAGCTGCCAATAATAGTCTCTATAAACACAATTTGATCTCTATCTCAGAAATTGTTTCCATTCCAACTCTAGGTTACACAATCATTTTATTCTTTGTAGTTTACATAGTTGCTAAGAATACCATCACTTACATACGTATGAAAAAATGAATAGAAAAAATACAACCTTGAAGGTCTCAATTCATCCTTAATTCAACTTGTCAACAAGTTGAGGGGTTGTAAAACACATTGGCCAAGATAAAATACTGTGCATTTCTCAGAACCAGCTCCCTTACGGCACAGCACAACTCAACTTAATGCAACTATAGAGTAGGGAATGTTCTATCACATAAATTCAGAATGTAAAAGACATACTTGGTTGGGTCGCAAGAGAAATTAATGTGACCGTTCTGGATATATGACACTACTAAAAATAACCTTAAAAACACAAATCTTATTCTTCTGTATGTGCATTATATTTCAATAAATATTGAACAAATAAATATGAATAGACAACCTTACAAAAATAAAACCTTAAGAAAACAGTGTCCACAGAACTTGCATTTTATATATATATATATGAGATATATGTTATAATTAAGACAGTGACAAGATAAGAACATAAGCTATTATTTTTTTAAATCCTTTTTGTTTTTGATCAGTTTATACTCTATTCCCCTTCTTATCTCAATTTTCATATAGTTGTAATTGGCAGATTCCCATTTAAATTGGGGGATGGGGATACATGTTTGCAGCAGCATTTATACTTATTTCTCACTGACTTAGAAATCACTTTGACACCCCATGAATTAGCAATTATGTGTTAGCACTGTCACAAAAGATGCAACAATATGAGTTAACAGGGTTCCAGTAAGGCAGGGAGCCAAACTAGAGATGGGATAAGACTGACTCAATTTGGGAAACGGGGCAGGGAAACAGGGCAGGTTGCAGCAGAGGTTAAGTTTAACAGTAATAGAAGGGAACTTCTATATATGTTACGGTAATTTTCTAGGCAATTTAGAATTCATTTCTGTCTCAATGGTACTCAGTCTTTCATTATATTCTTAGTGGTAACAAAGGCAAATTTAACTCTAGCATTTGGGATGTCCTCAATACAGCAGTGCTTACCCATCTTTTTTTTTTTTGTATAGAAGAACTGGGGTATAGGCCAGAGGTGTTGGGGGTGAGAGGATTCACCAGAGACAAAGTAGGGCGCAGAATAGGCAGATTTACTGAAATACCCAGCTAAGGGGAGAACTATGGGAGATAGGAGAGGTCTGCTGTGCCATGTGTGAGTTAGAAGTCATAATGCTGAGATTTCACCAGTAGGCCACCAGGGAGGTCCAATCAGGAAAGCTTTAACACTGTTTAAATATTCAGCAATACTGAGGAATTACTGTAATTTTAAATACAAATGTTTCAAGTTCTTTATCTTTTAGAGGTAAGTTTTAAAATATTGGTAAAATGATATGCAATTAAGAATTTGTTTCAAAATAATTCAGAAGGAAGGACACCGGGGATGTAGGAAAGTGAGGATGAGATTTGAAAATGAGTGCTATGTACAGGGGACATTGTGGTACAGTACCTCTAATTCCATACAGTTTTTTCACAGTGTTTTTAAATTCACATAGACCAACTTTTAATGCTGAATCCCTCCAAAAAAGAACAGAAGAATATTATTTTTAATTACCTAGAAGAATATTACATCAACACTGCTAGAATTTTAAAGACTATGTGACTATCATGCTTCTACCAATTTGTTGTTCTTTTTTGTTTGTTTGTTTTGTAAAGATTTATTTATCTATGCATACAGAACTGGGGTATAGGCCAAAGGTACGGGGTGGGAGTGTATGTGAGAGAATTCACCAGAGACAGAGTGGGGAAGAGACAGGCAGATTGACTAAAATATACTGCTGAGGGGAGCAGCAGGTGAGACAGGTGAGGTCTGATCCACGATGTGTGTCACCTCCCTGGCCTGGGATGGAACTCATACTGAAGCAACTGTGGATAGTTTCCTAGTGGTATGCTTTAACCTTTGTGCCACCAGGGTGGGCCCTATCAATTTGTTCTTAGGGAAATAAAGTGTTGTGTATGCACACAACAGTTTGGTACATGAGTAGTCACTTTTTCTTTCTGGAGGTGTCTACTTGCAAAACTTTCTTGATTTGTCTGATGAGACAGCATTAACAAAAAAGGAAATGTTTGTTTCATGAAATACAAATATGGTTCAAGCAGCAACACAATTCTTTTGTACCATATTTTAGGAAGATGTTTTCTTGAGAGTGAGTTTTGTTTAATCATAGAAATATAAAGGACTGGAAATTTTTTCTAAGAGGATGATAGCGAAAATAATGCTT